CATGCGTGTCCGTCAACCTTAAACAATAATCTTTGTCAATTTTATTTTTCAGTCTTTACGATGGTCGATACTTGATCTATCTCTTACTGTTACATCCCCGGGCAACGCCGGGCTCTACTGCTAGTTAAATATAAATAGCAGAATTTAACGTGAAATGTCTGTCAGTTATGTTATATGCGTGATACACGCTTAGGCGATCATGTATCTTTCGAGGCAAATTTTTTCCCGCAGTAGGTTGCCATTTCTTTCTGCGGTAGATCAGTTGCCATCCAAGACTATAGAACCCAGTCTGTCCTGCTATTTACCCATAGCTGGGAGGAGAAGAAGAGGATTCATACCTTTCCCAAGGGTATTAACACGTAAGTGAATGTAATGGATTCGACTGGAATTCGAACTCGGCTCTCCGATTCCTCAATCCATTACTCCACCGTACCTCCGTGAAATGTAGTCTATTTAAATGTTTTAACAGTAAAGAACATTCATGCTTCATCAGTGATAAACAGAATTCTTATTTCTAAAGCAAAATAATCAGTTTTTAATCTGTTCACATGAACAGAGATCGTGGGGAAAAACCTCATCTGATAGGTTAATTTCTAAGGAAGCCTGATTGTTCTTCCATTAGGGCTAATGAGTTTTTGGGTGCTGACATCTCCAAAATCGATATGTATACTCTCCTCCCGAAAATCTTCGTATTGATTGAAGCGGATGTAAAACGTAATAGTCTGTAGGACCTTACTTTTCTTCATATATTCAATCGAAATATAAGACGCCATGTTGCATCGCCGGACTAGCATTGCTGATATACTACAGATCAATTTGTGAATTATAGGTTTACTAAATCAAACAAGTATAACAATTTAATTCCTGGGAAGTGTTTTAACAGAGGACGGAAAGCGCAACACTGAAATCCGAAGTCGCATCGAGATAGTGAAAGATGCCTTTCAAAAGCTAAGTAAAATATTAAGAAACAGAAAAAAAAATTCGTTAGAAATAAAGAAAATAGTAATGAAATGTTATGTAATAACAATCCTCCTATATGACAACGAATGCTGGACAATCTCTTCACAGATTAGAAGCAACAGGAACTTGAAAACGTCGTTCTAGAGAAGGATACTGAAAACATCATGGACCGAACTAGGGAGCAACGACGAAGTTTTAGAGGAAATGGAAACAAAATGAACACGTATACTTAACATTAGGAAGAAACACTTGAAATTTTTAGGGCACGTAATGAAAAAAGGTCTGGAAAATTTGATACTCACAGTAGAGTTTGAGGACAAGGGATACACAGGAAAACAAAGCATAGAGGACTTGAGTAAATGGATAGCGGGACAAGGTTTAGGAGAGATAACTAAAAGACAAAATTTATTAAATGCTACAAAGGACAGGAAATTGTGGAGGGCCATGATCATCTACGCCCTGTACGGACACGACACACAAAATAAAATCAATGAACTTGAGTAAATGGATGTCGGAACAAGGTTTAGGAGAGATAACTAAAACACAAAATTTATTTAAATGCTACAAAGTACAGGAAATTGTGGAGAACCATGATCATCTACGCCCTGAACGGACACGGCACATAGAAGAAAATAAATAAGCTTGAGTAAATGGATGTCGGAGCAAGTTTTAGGAGAGATAACTAAAAGACAAAATTTATTAAGTGCTACAAAGGACAGGAAATTGTGGAGAGCCATGATCATCTACGCCCTGAACGGACACGGCACACAAAATAAAATAAATGAACTTGAGTAAATGGATGTCGGAACAAGTTTTAGGAGAGATAACTAAAAGACAAAATTTATTAAGTGCTACAAAGGACAGGAAATTGTGGAGAGCCATGATCGCCAACGTTCTGCAGGGATACATCACATAGAAGTATCGTAATGTTTACGCCTTTCCATCCTGCCTTTATTCCAATTGTTCGTTCGTTGCTTTTTAATATCTAGCCAACGAGTATATCGCTTTGTTCATTGTCTCCATTCATTTTCCCTCCTTTTATACGCAAATATATTTATTTTTACTTTCACCTTATATTTTTTGTGGGTTTCGATTGAATCGAGGTTTCTTACTTTTTATATTCCTTTCCTTCAAGCTGCTCACTTTTCATTTTCCTTCTCTTTTTCTCATTCTTACTCATTTAGTATGTTTCTTGGTCATAAAACGTAACTGATTCCAGCTCAGAAAGACTGGATATCTGGCAGATACTAAACCCTGAATGAACATCCATATAAACAACTAGAATCATAAATGTAACTGTTACACTTCTCTGCAGAATTTATAAATCTACCAAATACTCTATAGTTCCATGATCAGTATGGATATCACAATGAGAAGTATATTCATACGATATCTTCCGTAGTAACATAGATATTTATTTACTACTAGCAGTAGAACCCGGCGTTGCCCGGGGATGTAACAGTAAGAGATAGATCAAGTATCGACCATCATAAAGACTGAAAAATAAAATTGGCAAAGATTATTGTTTAATGTTGATGGACACGCATGTCTTAATTAGTTTTTTTTTTTTTTTTTTTTTACGAATTGGTCAAACCCAAACTCAAACAAAAACATTGTTTTCAATCATTATAAGTCTACCGATTGAATAGAATTTTATAATAAACAATTGTCTTGTAAATGGAATTTTTAAAGCATTCTGAATGTAAAAATAAAGAAAAAAGTGTGCAAGACAATAAGAAACACTACCTGCCAAAAAAAGTGAAGTTTTGTTGAAATCGGTTGAAAAATGTAGGAAATCCGATCCCATATATAAAAGAACACACACACACATACACACAAACAACCTGGATTTTATAATAAGTATAACTCGATATGAGTTGTCCCCCTTTCATTCTGGCGACAGTGATGCCTCTTAATCGTGTTTTCAAATTGATTTCGTGCAAAAACAATTGTGTTTTTCCAATTTTCGCGCTGTCAGAACCACCGCAAGGTAATTTTACGTAGTCCTGTGAAGTTTTGTTGAAATCGGTTGAAAAATGTAGGAAATCCGATCCAATATATAAACGAACAGACACACACACACAACCTGGGTTTTATAATAAATATGATGCTTAGTCAGTCTCATGGAGCAAGGAAAGTTAAAACTTTATTCAGCCAATTTCCAGACATAGGCATGCTTGCTTTGAAAATATTAATTCGTAATGATGGCTTTTTCTAGTATTCTGTCACCAAGCCCTGGATACGGCGAAAAATAGACAATTACCTCATCTAGCAGAGCAAGGATTCAAAATTTAAATAAATCTGGTACAAAGGTTTATGGTAGAGAATGGGGGTTAGAAATAATAAGTTATCTGAAAAAGATGTATTCTTGCACAGGTCCTACCTACCTTTAAAGCCAGTAATCGAATGCCTGACTTTTACCCGGGCCCAAACATCGTCTATCATCATCACAGCGAAATATGCAACTATCTTAAGCAACAAACAGGCCCAACAGCGAAATTGTATTTCTTTACCTTTCCAGGAGGCAAAATCTGGCATAATATCTTTTAATTTGGCGACCCACGGGCTTATGAATGATGAGTGTCTTTCAGGTGATGTTCACTTCCAACAGCATTTTCTACAGGCATCAGGTTGGCTTTTTGAGATTATTCCGTTAGTAAAATATGGAAGAGTTGTCTGAGATATGGGTATTCTGGTTCTAGGGTCAATACTTATTTTATAGATTTCCAATCATGAATGACGAGAAGGCATCAGAAAAGCCATACCGTATAAAAATATAATAGTCTCAGACTGAGATATAAAGAGAAAGAGAGTGACTGACAGACGGGGAGAGACTGCGATTGAAAAGCGGTGATAGATAGATAGATAGATAGATAGATAGATAGATAGATAGATAGATTTTCTTGGAAATGTTTAGAAACACGACCAAAAGATCATGATAAATAATATATTTTCAACAATTGAATTAATTGAACTGATTTTATCTTCGTTTTTAACAAATGTTGAGTATGTTTTTTTTTTAATTCTCAAAATGCCTGAGATGAAATATTAGAATGGTTTTAATTCAGATAATTGGAAAATGCTCGAATGATGTCAAAGTTTTACTTCATTTCACGTACGAACAATCGAGGAAATGATGTAATGGCTTCTCATAGTTAAATTGTAAAGTACACTTGGTTTGAAAGCGGTTTTTAAGATTTAAAAATATAGTAAAATATCGAACGACTGCCTGAGTGGTGTATCCTGGATCTAGGGTCAATACTCATTTTATAGGTTTCCAATTAAGAATGGCGAGAAAGCACCAGAAAAGCCATACCGTATAGAAATATGAGTCTCAGACTGATATAAAAAGAGAGACCGATAGAAAGAGAGAAATGGAAAAAGAGAGAGAAACTGATATTTTGGAAGATAGATTTTTAAAATCATACATACATACATACATACATACATAGATAGATAGATAGATAGATAGATAGATAGATAGATAGATAGATATGAACAGAATGGGGTTGATAGATATGAACACGGTGGAGGTAAGCTGGAGTAATGGATAGCGGCTCGGATTAGGGAATCGGAGAGGCGAGTTCGAATTCCAGTCGAATCCATTACATTCATTTACGTGCTAATATGAATCCTCTTCTCCCCCACCCCTAGTAATAGGTTCTATAGCCTTGGATGGCAAATGGTCTACCGCAGAAAGAAATGGCAACCTACTGCGGGAAAATCTGCCTCGTCAGTCATATAACGAAAGATACATGATCGCCTAAGTGTATATCACGCATGTTACATAAATGAACTGAGATATGAACTGAATGATATCCTGTTACTGAAAAACTGTTATTTTATGTGCAGTGATATAACACCGATGTCATCCCGCATAAAAAAAGTTACGAAGTACAGGAAGAGAGAGACATGATCCCTCATATAAAAGTAGGATTCTTTTATTAAATACAAACCTTACTAGATATTAAATACGCCTTAACCTATGTCGAAAAGTTAGTATCTAGAAAGAAATTATTTTTATCACCCTATTCACTCTGATGGATACTCAAGCTGCTGGGCATTTGCAGAGATCATTGGTAATTTATGATGTCCAAACTGTCATTACTACTTCTGTCTGGTTATTTATACTGTTGATTTTCATTTATACAATCATTCTTTTCATAATATCCTAGAGATCCCATATCAAACTGAGGTCCGATCAGTTAGACGTCTACACTAAGACTTCGATATCTTGATACTGAAACCATTTTTTTTACACGTGTAGCTATAAGACATACACAAACAATTTTTTTTTTTTGAAAATGGTACTCTTGCTTATCTCTATGAATAATAATATGTAATAGGACAATGGATATGTTCTTATCAGTTAAGTCTGCTACTGGGAAACTTACTTTACTGTATCGAGCAAGACAGTTTTTTTTTCGACAGAACCTATCTTGCACCTTCCGAAGTTTCATTCGTCCGTACATCGAATATTTTTATCACATCTGATCTGGTGCTTCTGTTCTGTATCTGGAGATTATTGACAAAATCTAAAGAAGAATTTGCAGTGTTATCGGTCCAGACCTGGCATCTCGGTTTCAATCACTTTTCTACCGCTGTAACTTAGCTTTCTTGTGTCATTTCTATGAATAGTTTCATGTTAATTGTTCTGAGAAGTTTTCCTCTTTGGTACCACGACTTCATGAATTTAAACGCAGTACTATATTGGCAGACAGGTCTCATCGTTTTAGTGTTAATATATGCTGCATGTAACCGTAAGTTCTATACTAATAGTTTTTTTCTCGTATTTCTTTCTTGTGAAACTCCCTGCTGGCTACTTGCTTTTCTGTCAACTCCGATCTTCAAAAATTTAAATGCAACATCAATCTTCATCTTGAATCCTGTTCATTTTGTCCTTTCTCCTCAATAACGTTTTTCTCAGATTCTCTCTGTCAGGGTATTAGCACGTAAGTAATGTAATGGATTCGACTGGAATTCGAACTCGGATCTCCGATTGAAGAATCGGTGAGCCGATTGAGGAATCGGTGAGCCAAGTTCGAATTCCACTCAAATCCATTACATTCATTTACATACTAATACCCTTGGGAAAGGTATAAATCCTCTTCTCCCCTCAGCTATGGGTAAATAGCAGGACAGACCGGGTTCTATAGCCTTGGATGGCAACTGGTCTACAAAAAACTGATTATTTTGCTTTAGAAATAAGAATTCTATTTATCACTGATGAAGCATAAATACTCTTTACTGTTAAGACATTTAAATAGACTACATTTCACGGTGGAGTAATGGATAGCGTCTTGGATTGAGGAATCAGAGATTCCAGTCGAATCTGTTACATTCACTTACGTGCTAATGCCCTTGGGAAAGGTATGAATCCTCTTCTTATCCTCCCAGCTATAGGTAAATAGCAGGACAGACCGGGTTGCCTTGGATGGCAACTGGTCTACTGTGGAAAGAAATGGCTACCTACTGCGGGAAAAAAATCTGCCTCGTCAGTCATACATCGAAAGACACATGATCGCCTAAGCATGTATCACGCATGGCGCATGAATGACTGACTGACTGACTGACAGTAACTTCATGTGTCTCAATGGCTTTATCGCCTTGTTTGGGGCGAATTATTATAAACAAAAAGGAAAAAAAAATGAACATTTTGCGCACAATGAAACAATGCAGTATTTTTTTTAATGAAACATCGCACTTTCAAGATTTTGGAGAACGGTTTTCAAACTTTGGAAGTCACTGGACATTAGGCAAGACGAAAGCCAAAGCTTTATGTGCAGCATGCATAAAATGATTGCGAACATGATTTAACTGAACATTTGACTTTATGAAATCCGGTCAAACAGAGGAAAGTAAACAATTAATGAGTTGCGGGAAAATCCCTTGGCTCACTAATTGGGAAGAAAGTTAATGACAGTTAAGAGAAATAGTTAATACCCTATCTCTTTTACTCATTCTCCGCTTTCTCTTTGTTCGACCAGTGATCGATCGATCGATCGATCTATCTATCTATATCTATCTATCTGTAATTTTGGACAGATTTATCTATTGATCTATTTTTTTTATTTATCTATCATTCTACTCATATCTATCTATCTATCTATCTATCTATCTATCTATCTATCTATCTATCTATCTCAGTGACATCATTTCTATCTTTTTCATATCTATCTATATACATATGTATATCAATGTATCTGTTTGTGTGAATGTATGTGGATATAGTAGTCTGACTGAAAGAACTTCAATAATAATGATAATAAAAAGAATAAGATTTATTATATATTATTCGGGCTTTAGACCAATTAGAAGCGTGATGAAAAAAAAATCGTAATTTTCGGACACGTCTTTGTCCTTTCTCAACAAGTTGAACTTTTGGGGGGAATTTTTTTCCCTCGTGTGTTATATTATTGATGGAATCTATAGTAGTTTTGGGATAATTGTTTGTCACGATTTGGGTTGTGGAGGGTTTTTAGATGGCTTTTTGTGGAAACTGGGTTCATTGAGTATACTTAAATTCCTAATTAAACCTAGAATGTGCGAATTTATGTAAAAAATCTATTTTCTACTATCATACATACATACATGCATAGAGACAAATGTACACAAACATAAACACACACATACATATACATACATACATACATATATATATTAAGAAATGGACAAGGTCCGACAATTTATTTATTAAAGACATTTTTTATGTTTAACGTTGTTATTTTATAGATACAAGTATTTAAGCAAATGCTCTGTTTATGATAAACAGTATTAAATAAATTGTCTACCGATTGGTTCTTTGTAGCCTAGAGGTAAGGCACGTCAGCGTATATGACGGTTCCGTATAGGATGCAGGTTCGAATCCTGTCAAAGAACGAATATTTTCTATGAAAATTTCTCGGACATTCAGGCCGGTAAATGTTATTTAATACTGTTTATCATAAACAGAGCATTTGCTTAAATACTTGTATCTATAAAATAACAACGTTAAACATAAAAAATGTCTTTAATAAATACATATATATATATATATATATATATATATATATATATATATATATATATCAGTTTGTTCGTATCTATTTATATCAGTTTGTTCATATCTTTATTTATCAATCTCACGTTGCTATTTCTGTTCATATCTATCTTTGTTCATATCTATCTATTTATGTCTGTTCGTATCTATTTCTGTTCATATCTATGTCTATTAATATCTATCTATCTATCTATCTATCTATCTATCTATCTATCTATGTCTGTTAATATCTATCTATCTATCTATCTATGTCTGTTAATATCTATCTATCTATCTATCTATCTATCTATCTATGTCTGTTAATATCTATCTATCTATCTATCTATCTATGTTCATATCTACTTCTGTTCATATCAATGCCTGTTAATATCTATCTATCTATCTATCTATTTCTGTTCATATCTATTTCTGTTCATATCTATGTCTGTTAATATCTATCTATCTATCTATCTATCTATGTCTGTAAATATCTATCTATCTATGTTCATATCTACTTCTGTTCATATCAATGCCTGTTAATATCTATCTATCTATCTATCTATCTATCTATCTATCTATGTTCATATCTACTTCTGTTCATATCAATGCCTGTTAATCTCTATCTATCTATCTATCTATCTATGTTCATATCTACTTCTGTTCATATCAATGCCTGTTAATATCTCTATCTATCTATGTTCATATCTACTTCTGTTCATATCAATGCCTGTTAATATCAATGCCTGTTAATATCTATCTATCTATCTATCTATCTATCTATCTATCTATTTCTGTTCATATCTATTTCTGTTCATATCTATGTCTGTTAATATCTATCTATCTATCTATCTATCTATCTATCTATCTATCTATTTCTGTTCATATCTATTTCTGTTCATATCTATGTCTGTTAATATCTATCTATCTATCTATCTATCTATCTATCTATCTATCTATGTTCATATCTACTTCTGTTCATATCAATGCCTGTTAATATCTATCTATCTATCTATCTATCTATCTATCTATCTATCTATCTATGTTCATATCTACTTCTGTTCATATCAATGCCTGTTCATATCAATGCCTGTTAATATCTATCTATCTATCTATCTATCTATCTATCTATCTATCTATCTATCTATCTATGTTCATATCTACTTCTGTTCATATCAGTGCCTGTTAATATCTATCTATCTATCTATCTATCTATCTATCTATCTATCTATCTATCTATCTATCTATCTGTGTTTCTCTATATGATGTTTTCTTTTAACAATGAGTATATTATCATTATCTACATTCGTCCCCTAATCCTCTCCTTTCATCACTCAGTGCGTCCTAAATATCCTTTATCGATTTTACTCTCTATCAATGTCTCTTTCTTGACTTTTTTCTTTACTAGTTTTCCATTCAGCTTCTCTTTCTTTCCTTATTTTTCATTTATCTTTTCCATTTATTCATTCACTATCGTCTACAACGATAATTCCTTTTAATTAAATATTTCCCTTCTGCATTTCTTTCTTTTCTTAAAATTAATTAATCGATATCACGCTAAAGTGTATAAATATTTCTTTCCTTATATCTACCACCGAACTTTCATCTTCCTCCTTTCTCCCCCCACCTCTCTCTCTCTCTTTCTCTTTCTCTCTCTCTCTTTCTCTTTCTCTCTCTCTCTTTCTCTCTCTCTCTATCTCTCTCTCTCTCTCGAGCTATCTCTTTTCATTCTTTTTTTGTCTTTTCTCAATATAACGCCGACCACCTGCTTGTCAATTTACGCTCTCTCTGTTTCCTCTTTCTTGTCTAATCTTTAAGCGTCACTTTGTCTGCTTATCTCTTTCTTTCTTTTCTTCACTTCCTGTTTTTCTTTATCGTCTGCTCATCTCATCTCTTTAATTTTTTCTCTTCTGGTTTCCCTTTTTTTAGAATCGTTTTTCTATCGCTTTTTTTTTTTTTTTTTTTTTTTTGTATTCACACCATTCCTTTCAATGTCCACATTTTCTGATCCTCTCCGTCTCCGCCCACCCTCTCAGCCTATGTTATATCTCCTCTCTTCGTCACATATCTTTCTCTCGTTCCACCTGCACCCGCTCTCGCGATCGTCTGTCTTCCCGCTTTTCACAAAGAGTGAACATCACGTGACTACTACTAATAATGAACGTGCCGAGGTGAGAATGTCGAGAGTTGAGGACAACTGTAAAATGTATCACTGTAATGGCGATGGTGGGAAAGAAACAGTGTCAAATTTGGTTGTAAAGCTGGGAAAGAGTTCGCTGCTTGTAGCAGTTTCGCGTGGAAGGAGAGATGGTTGGATGGGTTGTCGGAACTCTGATATGACCTGTTTCGACCGCGAGATCGGGATGTGTCAAGTGACGATGGTCGACCGGTGGAGCAAATGGGGCTACGATCGAGTCCCGAGGGGAAATAATGGCTGCTTTTTCGATTTGGGCCGATGCCAAAAAGGGAAAGGACCCTAGAAATTGTGGAACGGAGACGAAAAGAATTTATATTTGCAAGTAAACCCGAAGCGTAGCGCGAACCAACCAACCAATTCCAATTAGTTAATGCGTGTCCGGTGTGGACGATAAGCCGGGGGCAAAATGTCCAAAGGTGTTATCAGGATCATACCATCCCGGCCAAAATCGGTTTCGGACAAATTTAGCAACAGATTGTTAGGCCAATCGTTTTGTGGCGTTAAGTAATCGAAAGCTGCATATTTCTGTTACTATTTTCGAAGTAATCTATCTATCTATCTATCTAACTATCGATCGATCGAAGTCACTTAACATATATAATTCCACCTATCTGATCTCAGTTTCTTCACATTTATCGATCCATATCTCTCTCTCTTTCTCTCTCTCTCAGTCTCTTCACATCTATCTATCCATCCATCTTTCTCAGTCTATCTATCTATCTATCTATCTATCTATCTATCTATCTATCGAAGTCACTTAACATATATAATTCCACCTATCTGATCTCAATTTCTTCACATTTATCGATCCATATCTCTCTCTCTTTCTCTCTCTCTAAGTCTCTTCACATCTATCTATCCATCCATCTTTCTCAGTCTATCTATCTATCTATCTATCTATCTAAGTCTCTTCACATATATAATTCCACCTATCTGTCTCAGTCTCTTCACATCTATCGATCCATCCATCTTTCTCAGTATATCTCTTTCTTCTAATCTATCTATCTATCTATCTATCTATCTATCTATCTCTGTCTCAGTTTCTTCACATATATCTATTTATCCCGGTCTCTTCATGTCTGTCTATCTATCTATAGTTAAATTCTCAAATCTCGTAACCAGCTTAGAACTATAACTTTAAGTGCCAATATTACGACATTCGGTGTCAGGGCCGATACAGCATTTTCAGTTAGAGACGGTGTATTCCTCAATAAAAATCTCAATTCCAAATTTTAAATTCTGTGATCATATTTTAGAAATGAGTAGGGAATGTTCAGATAGATAGATAGATAGATAGATAGATAGATAGATTGTAAATTTACATTTTCTTTTATTTATTTGATATGTAAAATTGTAAATACAAACTTCTACATTCAAAGTGTGATTATATAGCGTTTATCAAAGAGGATTTACTAAAGTCAGTTTTCGTGGATTCTTATTTGCATAGAGGTTCCCGATTTTATCATAGTCTAATTGAATGTGAACACACAAAAGAACAAGCGCGTTAAATCTGTCTTCACTCGTTGAGCGCCTCATTCGAAATATTTGTTGGGGCACCCCAAGGATCCGCCCCTTGACCCAATCGAATATCTTTGAAAGAGACAGTTTAAATTTCTCGGGCACGCAATAAAAATAGATGGCTTGGAAATTTTTATACTCACGAGACAGATTGAAGCCAGGTGGGTCAAAGGAAAACAACCTACCTGTCGAGATTGAGTAAATGGATGGCAGAGCAGGGTTTAGGAGAGATGATAACAACAAAACAAAAGTTATTAAGAGCTACAAAGGATTGGAAACTGTCGAAAGCCATGACCACCAACGTTCTAAAAAAGCACAAAGTATGGAAGAACAGAATAACTAGATTCATATAGAAGAATTTTCAACAAGTTTCAGCACTTGAAAACTGTTAATTTCTTTGATGGCAAACTGTGTTGTACTTTTTTTTTGTATTTGCCATCGAGTATATCTGTTTAAGTAGAGCAAATGTTTAAATTAACAGAATATCTCTAGAAAATCGTATGGGAATGAGACACGACATATAAAAGAGAACGAATTGAAAGAAAGAGCGAGCACGGAGGGAAACGAGAGAAGGAATAATATGGGAAGATAAGAAAGTGGAGAAGTAAAGTGTGATTGGAGAGAAAGTGAGGAGAGTATAGTTATGCAAAGGGAAGTGAGGAAAAAGAAGAGAGGAGAGAGAGAGAGAGAGAAGAAGAAGAAGAAGAAATAATGAGATATTATCTCACTCTTTCTTCTCTCTCTCTCTCTCTCTCTCTCTCTCTCTATAGTACACACATATATAACCATCAATATTATCTTACATGTACTGTCTATATCAGTTATACTCCGAATTCAATTGAGACAGTGTGAACATCGGCTAGACAGCTCATAACAAGTTGATATTAATCATCGGAGTTCGAAAGAGACATAGGACAGTAACATGATGCAGAGGTAGATATTCGCAATCTGAGATAGAAATATATGAAAATAGTAATAAAGATAGATAGGCAGGAAGATATTGAGATAGATAGACATGCATGATTAGATAGATAGATAGATAGATAGAAACTGACTCAGATAGATAGAAAATGACTCTGAAAGAAAGAAAGAAAGAAAGAAAGAAAGAAAGAAAGAAAGAAAGAAACTGACTCGGATAGATAGATTGAGAGAAAACTACTTAGATAGATAGATAGATAGATAGATAGATAGATAGATAGATAGGACTGACTTTGATAGATAGATTCATTTGAGGGATATTCTGCATACTTCATAAGTCTAGTCGAAAGGTTACGGACGCAATTTTCAATTAGATGTTTTTAAATACACACACATACATACATACATACATACATACATGATGATGATGATGATGATGATCCGCTGCATCTTCACAGATGATGTCCGCCTAATCATGTTCGCTCCCCACCTCGCACCTCTCTCGTGCATGACCCCAAAGGTGACTTGCCAGGCTGGCTGCGGAATTGCATGTCTTGTTACACAAATGACAGACAAACAATGTGCTTGCCACAACCTTGATGGATTCACACTGCAGTGCCTGATTCCTGTACAACACCATGTGCCTTTTCAGTCCGGGGCTGGTTGTGCATACCTTGTCACACATCGTGCAGGCTGTGACACTCTGTGTCTGGGGAATATCAAGGGTGATTTTTTCTCTATGTGACTTCACATGATTCACCCAGCCAGCCTTTGAAAGTAGTATGCGTTGAAGTTGCGCTTCAGCCGTTAGTGTTCAGACGACATTCTTCGAAGAGTTGACACCCGCCACTTATTTGACCTCTCCATCCAGTTCTATCTACGGGCATGTCTTCACACACACACATATATATATATATATATATATATATATATATATATATATATATATATATATATATTTGGTTGGATTGATATGAGTTTGTGAACCTGGGTTTCAAATATGTTAGCTCTATCTCTGATATTGAACGCTTTCTAATAAGTACCGCGCATATAATATATAAATAATAAAATATATAATATATTACACACACACACACACACACACACACACACACACACACACACACATATATATATATATATATATATATATATATATATATGCAGCTTTCATTAAAAACGACAGACAAGTTACTACGATTAAGCTTTTTATTTAATTTTTCTTGTGTTTGGACAAGTGTTAATTGTTATTAAATATTAACTACGAACACGGCCACAATGTGCTGTGTTCGGAAAATAAAACATCTCTATAACACTAAAAACATACACGTAATGCAGACACTCAATTAAAATGAAAAAATTAAATTTTAATGGCTAAAAGTATAGCCGAAAGCGCTCGGAATTACAGAACATTTGGACAGTTTCTACATACTCTGTGTCCAAAAAAGAAAACACTTGTTCCAGCACAAGAAAAAGCTTAATCGTGGTACCTTGTCTGTCGTTTTTAATGAAACATGCATAAATGAATGATTGCTGCCTAAATATACAATATATATATATATATATATATATATATATATATATATATATATTGTGTTTTGACATGAGGCGGAATAATTATAGTCAGTATCAATTGTCGTGCCAGACAATTCTTCTTGCCATAATCTTGAGCATTTTTAAATCTACCTAACGCCCATGCATTGCATATTGCTGCAATATATGGCCTGATGCTCCTGCTATATATCTCGAGGTTCTCGACAACATCCAAAGAAGAGACTGTAATGTTAACGGTCATGACCTGGCATCTCCACCTCAGTGACTCTCCCAACGTCGTAACGCGGCTTCCCACTGTCTTTTCTATATTTTCATGGCAAAATTGAACATCGAAATAGAACATTCAAACGAAATAAATTGAAAATTCTCAAGAGAAACGAATTCAGTCCGTGGAAATATTTTATATAAAGAAAAATATAATCCAAGAATAGAGAAAATATATTTATGTGTATACAGTTAACTGAAACAAAAGAAGAGAAAATATGTATGAGGTTAACTGGTATGTGCATGTGTGTATGTGTATGTGCGCGCGTGTGTGTGTGTGTGTGTGTGTGCGCGCGTGTGGGTGTGTGTTGTCCCACGTGCCTGGGTTGAAATTTGGCAGTCGTCTCTCCGACAAGTAGGCATTTACCCTTGTTTCTCCACTGAGACGGGATGTGAAACAAGGTCGGGTTTAACGTGGGGAACGTGAACCCGGGCCAAAGGCAAAAATTGACCAGCCCCCACAACCGTCGGTTGCTCTGGCATCGATATTACTACCGATCTCCCCCTCTTTAGTGCAATGTCGGGGTGCAGCCTCGGGCAGCTGTTCCCCGGGACCAGGCACCTCAGTCAGTTATGTGCCATGCATGATAAACGCTTAGGCGGTCATGTGTCTTTCGATACATGACTGACGAGGCAGTTTTTCCCCGCAGTAGGTTGACATTTCTTTCTGCGGTAGACCAGTTGCCATCCAAGGTTATAGAACCCGGTCTGTCCTGCTATTTACCCATAGCTGGCGGGGAAGAAGAGGATTCATACCTTTCCCAAGGGTATTAGCACGTAAGTGAATGTAATGGATTCGACTGGAATTCGAACTCAGTACTCCGGGTATTTATTTCCTTCAGCGGCGTCTCTGTCCGTAGACAGAGCCACAACTGAGTCGCACTCTGCAGCGAAGACAGTGACGCAACTGAGAGATGATAAAATCCCTACCCAATATGGTATGGTCTATCAACAAGTAAATGAAATAATAATAATCAACAACAATAATTATTTGTTGTTTATTATTATTGCATAACTGTATACAGATGCACGATTATTTTTACTCAGTAGCCTCTAGGATAATTTGAAACATAACTGTTACCGCCTACTCACTAACCAAGATAATACAATAGACTTTACCACCCATAATGCACCACTGACCAGCATATATAATGTTATATATATATTGACGTGTTTTTATTACTTCATGAGTTTGTCACTCGTTCACATCCGGGTGAATCATCCTCATTATTTCCCTGCTCTTCTGTTTTCTTCTTTATGTTTGCTGCAATTTATTCAACCAATGCATCTTCAGAGTCTTTATTCTTATTGCGAGATCTTAAATGATAATTGATGCATACAAAATCTTCATAGTTTTCAGCACGTTGCACCTTCAAAGTGTTTTCATTTTCCTTATTTAACGTATCGGAGTCCTTCATATCAGAATGTTCAAAGTCCCTAGGCTCAAAGCAGTTCTTAATTGTCTTGCCACTTTTCATCTTCTAAAAGACTGTTCACAACAGATATACGGTAGATCAAATAACCAACCAAAATGGCACATTGGTCTGTTTTCACTCTACTAATTAAACGGTTTGGTGCTCCCAAATAATCAAAGATATTTTCATAAATATCCTTGATTTGTTTTGGTTCCTCAAAATTTGACTTAAGCAGATTACCTGATTTATTAACCGGGGAAGCATTTCAACAGATACGATTATATATATATATATATATATATGTATATAAATAAAAAGAAAGAACAGTAAGATATAAAATCCGGTGTTCTTATTTTTAGCTTCTATTTTTGAAACATGGTTGGAACTGTGTAGCGAAAATAACCATATTTTAAATCAATTAATTTATAATATATATATATATATATAGTGTAACCCGGATATAAGA